GCTCCTGCTCTGTGTGCTTTGGATGTGTTTGCTGCCATCTGCACTCACTGATGGCTGGAAATGACTGCGTGTGAACGTCCCACCTCACCTCCAGGCATGGAGCTCCACGGCACCTCGGGGGTGTTTTACAGCCACAGCCTGGAACTGATAATTGCACCGATCGCACACAGGACAGTGCCATCCCTTCCTTCCCTCCTTTTTCTTTGCTTGCCTGCCTGGCCTTTCTCTCCTGTTTTTCTGGCCTTTCTGGCTGGTCTTTCTTGGTTTTTTGGGCCTGCCTGCCTTCTTTGGCCATTTTTGGCATTTCTGCCTGACTTTTTTTGGCCATTTTTACCTGTCTTTTTCGGCCAGTTTTTGGCCTTTCTTTTTGCCTTTTTTGGTCTTTTTTATGGGCTTTCTTTTTGCCCTTTTTTTTGGGCTTTCTTTTTGTCTTTTTTGGGCTTTTTTGCCCTTTCTTTGGACTTTCTTTTTGCCCTTTCTTCTTGCCTTTATTCCCTTTTTTCTTGCCATTTTTTCTGGCCTTTCTTGCCTTTTTTCTTGCGGTCTTTTTGCCCTTTTTCCTGTCTTTTTTTTCCTCTTTTTTCTTGCCTCTTTTCCTGCCTTTCTTGCCTTTTTTCCCCTTTTCTTGGCCTGTTTTTGGCTTTGCTCCTTGCCTTTTTTGGCATTTTTTCTTGCCCTTTTCTTGCGTTTTTTTTTTGCTTTTTTCCCTTTTTTCCCCTTTTTTCTTGTCTTAATTGCCTTTCTCCTTGCTTTTTTTCCTGCCTCTTTTCTTGCATTTCTTTCCTCTTTCTTGCCTTTCTTCTTGCCTTTTTTATTCCTTTTCTTGCCTGTTTTCATGCCTTTCTTCTTACCTTTTTTCTGGCTTTTCTCCCCCTTTCTTCCTGCCTTTTTTATTCCTTTTTTCTTGCCTTTCTCACCTTTTCCTATGCCTTTGCCATAGGAGAATTTCTCTCATGCATTCACACTCCTGAACCCAGTCTGTAAATAATCTTCTAAAACAAACAGAGAAGGATGTTTATTCACTATCTCCATGTGTGCAAGGTGGGAAAAGCCCGTTAACTGCCAGCATGGCAGAGGATTCCATCAGAGCAATCCTGTGTACCAAGGCCTTCCCTCAGAGCAGAAGGCACTAAGCACACAAAACCTGCAGTGGGAAGGGTCCTGGCAGTCTCTTCTCTCCTCCATTGGACCTGTGCTTAACCGTTCCCCAGTAATTAGGTATGCTCATGACTCTTAAAGCATTTCAAGTTCCTTGAGGGATGAAGGTGTGTGGAGGGACTGTATTTGTTACCTTTGGGGTTATGTAATATTTTTATGGAAGGGTTTGAATCTTACCTTTTCCTCCCTGCACTGTGCTTAGAACAAGGCTGTGGACACTCCTTTTCTCCAAATACAAAAATAATTTAGGAGACAGAGCAGTGTTTGTCAGAAAGAACGAGGGTAGGGACTGATAGTGCCAGCGTGGTGGCTTGCACCACTCTAGGTCACTTTTGGGAATCATCGCTCCTGTCATGTACTGGAGCCAATTTCAGCAGGAGTTCCACTCTCTCCTGTGCTTTCCAAGAGTTCCCTGTGAGTGAAGGCTCATGATGGCATCCAGCTCAGGAGGCATCGACTGACTCCTTCCACCAAAGCACAGACACAAAACAGAGCTGCCTTCACTGCAAACCCCTGCTCAAACCTGGATGTGCAGCAGGATTTCTGCTCCACCTTGGGATCACATGCACCAATCCTCTGCAAAACCACTGATCCAGCTCTTACCCACTGTGTTACCGCAAGAGAGAATCCAAGGGCTGGGTGTGCTCAGGATAAGGAGAGCTGCAAGGTTCGCACTTCCCAAAACCGTCACTGACAGCAGATGCATTATGGCATTTCAGTAAGAATATAAATATATACTAAGGATTTTCCTCAGAGGCCAGATTTTCACTTATTTAGGAAACAAGGAAGTTGAAACATTGTGGAATCTCTCTACACAACAGATGCTTCAGGAGCTGACAGTACAGATTTCTCCAAGTGCCACATTCAGAGCAAATGAATTTTGGTCTGGGAAGCCAATTTTGAGACAATCCTCCCAGACACAAGGTACTGGCTGAGCACACAATGAAACAGAAAAGGAGACACTGGGCATTGTGTGACATCAGGAAGCAAATTTCTGTTTATTTGCCTTTCTTCAAGAACTCCAAGTCACCATTAGGCAAAGGAGTACATACAAGGATGTACAAGAAAAAGATTAAAAGAGACTTCTTCATTATTGTATTCTGTGGCATGAAAGCCAAAAGCCTTTTGTATTTGTTTGTTTGTTTTTAAAGGAGCTGTTTCTCCTCTTGCTGAGGTGCTTCACTTCAGAGAACAACCTACCATCTGCAGGAAACCTCTTTAGAAAATCAGAAGTGAGCAGAACTATTGCTGAGCTGTTTTCCTAAACAATCACTGCCAGCTGCACTAACAGCATTTTACCAGACACTTGTGAGTTTGTGATCCCCTAGGTTTATAAAGAAACAGGAAATCCATCTGCAGGGTGCCAGGCGTGGGGAAAGGCAGTTGGAGTTGCTTCCCCCTCAGCAGATTCCCACCTGCTATAACCAAACTGTGTGTGTGTTCAGTACAGCCATGATGCCCTGGCAAATCTGCCTGAAATCTGCCCAGGCACAGACAGCTTGCTCACAGTCCAACACAGTGTCACAGTAACCGTCATGTATCATTAAACCCCACAGTTTGTGGGGCTGTATTGCCCACAGTCCAATACACCCTCTCAGTAACTGTCATGAATCATTAGACCCCACAGTTTGTGGGGCTGTATTGACCACAGTCCAACACACTGTCTTGGTAACTGTCATATATCATTGAACTCCAGAGTCTGTCTCCTAACATCCTTCACACAATGCTCTGCCTGTTCACATCCACATTGTACGCCGATGAACTGGAACAGCCTCGGCCAAAATCAATGAAGATGCCTTCAGAGTCAGAGTCAATGGACTCCAAGATCTGATCCACCATGTTCTCAGGGCTGGAGGAGGGAGCTGGCAGTAAGGCAGTGTCTGTGTCCAGCTCCAAAGAGCTGTGCGGGTCGCCAGTGGAGCGGAAGAGTCCCTTCTGGGGCTCGGCCGTGCCCAGTTTGCTGGAGCACTGCCCCGGCGCGGCGCCGGGCCTCTCCTGCTCTCCGGGCAGCGAGCCTTTCATGGAGCCCCTGGAGCCGCTGTCCGTGATGGGGGCGAGGCCGGGGTAGCCCTGGAGCTGCAGGCAGGAGGTCATTTCCGACACCGAGTGCCTGCGGATGCCCGCCCCGTTGGCGGCCGCGCTCTCGCTGTCGTACTCGGCCACGGGCGTCAGCAGCGGGTTGTTGTAGCTCTTGGAGCGCACCACGGGGTTCTTGGCCAGGATCTCCCCCGACCTGGAGCGCCTGAAGAACCGCTTCTCTGTGAACAGAGAACCACAGTCACACCTGCACAGCCTCCTGGGATGGTACTCCTAACTATCAGTGTTCAAAGGAAATGCAAAGTCCTGATTATTCATAGGCTTTTCTGCAATCAAACTTCTCTAGAAGAAGACATTTTGCTGATTTTGGAGATTCAGCTTGCCTAGATTTCTTTAGCATACTGTAGACTCCAAATCTATCTTTACAAATGATAACTGAGATTCCCTCAGTGGCTGAGCTAAAACAGTAAATATAGTGAGAGGTGATAGTTGTAAGTACCTCCTTTAGACAGAAACAGAAAGTGAAATTCTGTTCTTTTTCAGGTTATAAACATTTTTAGTAGCTGAAATTTAACTTTTCCATTCATCCTGGGAAAATAAAGTCTCTTCAAATTTGGAGCATGAGGATTAAGACAGGCAGTTTTTCTAAGTTTTTCTACTGATTCTGGAAAACCCTTCAAAGTTCAGAGACCACATGAGGGAGACCACCAAGAGTGACTAAAAATGTTAACTAGAGGGCAATGCCCATAGAAACCTCTTTTTTGGGGGCGCAAATCTGCCTTAAATCCAGCAGCGATTGCTTGAATGCTGTTAACCAAGTGGGAGCTTCAAAAAAATAGGCAGCAGATGGCAGCAAGTGAGCACTGAGCTCCCTCTCTGGCAGGAGTTTAGTGCTGGAACGTCCTGGCAATGTGAATGAAATGAGCATCATGAGCAAAACGACCACCACTCTAACTATGAGCAGTCTCAGCGCTCAGATTCACTCCTGCTATCAGAAGAAAAGGTGGTGTGAATACCAGGTACTGGAATTAGGTCTCACTTTTGGAGCTTTCTTCCTGCTGCTCTCACTTTGCCATCCCATGAAGGAGGCACAACTGGAGCAGGGGATCAAATTACCCTCTGGAAGTCACAGAGCTACTGCAAATAACCTGTCTGCTTTAAATCAGGATGCTGGTACATGTTCCCTCAAACATATTCCAATCCCTTCATATCATGCTATTGTGCAGTTATGTGCTCACCTAGACACAAATTCCAATCACATGCTGTACTACTAAAAAAGCCAGTTTCTGTATTTAAGACTGCATTTTGCAGCCGTGTCTGCCTCAGCAGTGAAATCATCTGATCCAAGTCCCTTTCTGGACTTTTTCATTGTTAGGAGTTTGAGCTGGTAATGAGAAAAGGTTCCTGGGGCTATGAACTCTGCTAACAACATGCAACATGCTACCAAAATAGTTGAAGAGAATTAGTTCAAAAGCAGCAGCCACTTGCACACTAAGCTCCCTTGGATCCAGTTCAGTGACTGCAGTCAGACCCACTTCAGGAGTATACAGGCTCAGTGATTACAGTGAGCCCCATTTCAGGAGTATTGCTACATCTACAACCCAGACCACAGCAAGAGGAAGTGCCCAGCCCACCAAAACCTCCCTATCTTATGCAGTCATATACTCAGACATTTATTTGCTAACAATTCCTTTCACTGATGCTTTGTTCTCTTTGGGTGCATTTTTTCTATCCTGACATACAAAAGCTTGTATGTAGAAAATGCCAGTTTGAGGCTCCATTTAAATGCTTGTGGTCTTTTAATGGCAAGCAATAAACACAAAGCAGTAATCCTGAACCATTTTCAGGACATAACCAGCCTCTATTTAGTCACTTAAAACTCATTTGTGTCTTGAACACCTGCTGCAACACAACCATTTTGCCATCCAGCTCCACGAGAAAATCAACTGCTTTACTGACCATTTCTGACAGGCAAACAGGATGAATTGACTGCAGAGAGAACATGCAATTGAACTGATCTTCCCTTCTGTCTGCTCTATTTAATCAGACCATGCCAGTATTTACAATAGTACTCAGGTACTACCCCGTTTCCTTTGTCATTTACACTGGTAGTATCTCCCTTGTATTTTGACCAAATTGCATTGGTATGTAGGATATTGCACCTTCATCCTGGCTAAATGTTGCCATCACAGAAGTCACCAAAGGCTCCAGAGCTCCAAGAATCAGAAATTAAGCTGGAGGGAACTCAAGCTGCCACCAGGCCAGCCCATGTTTCCCCCTTGCTCCTTATGGATGCTGATGTTTCTGACAGGTAAAAAGCTTCTCAGCAGGGCAGAGTCAATAATCTCCAGGGGCAATGCATGGGAAATAAAGAGATTTTTCCTTCCATGTAATAGGAATTCTCACTGCTGTGTAAGACCCACTCTGTATTGCTCACCTCCACTGGGATGGAGAACAGCTTATAACCTTCTACTCTGCAGAAAGCTTTTACATGCTTGAAGGCTTACATGTTGGTCTTTTCTAAGACAAATTCCGGCTCTCTTCCCTAATTTTAACAGCTTTCTGCAATCTTTGTGTACTCATGAACACTCATGAAAATGAACTACTGAGTACTTTAAAAGTGGCCTCTTGCTTCTTCCTCTCACTGTCCATAAAGCATCCTGTGTTGAAGCCCTCTTGTTAAAAGGTAGAGTGGAAATGCTAGCCACTCTTGAATAATTTTACTGAATGTTTCCATCTTTTGCCACTGCAAGTTTCACTGTGACTCTGCACCTGGAATGGTGTTAAAGAGAAGGCTGATGTACTCATGTGAGCACTGGCAGCACCTCTGGTGCAGGCCCTGGCCCTACATGGAGCAAGGTTCTGGGAAGCTCTGTGTGCTGTGCCAAATGAGTGTGCGCTGTCCTTACCCAGGATACAGGCAGAGTGCGTGAAGGGTCCCTCGCTGGAGTACAGCCCGTACGTGCCCAGGTAAGGAGAAACAACCTTCTGGAGCAGGGATTCCAGCTTCAAATAATCTTCAGACACACCTTTGGACTCATGGACCCCCTGAAAAAGAGGGAACACCCAGCATGAGCACTGCCTCTTCAATCACGATCTCTCCTGGCTCACCAGGGCAGGCAGAGCAGAACGACCATTTTCACTGATGAAAGCACAGGTGCCCTGCAATGTGAGCCTGGTGTGCTGCTACAGCTGATTCCTCCTCTGTAAAACCAAGAGATGTGGATTAGACCAGAGCTACCTCCAGGACAAGTAAATCCAGCAAAGTACATCCTACCTAGTGCACAGCACTCAGGGAAGGACAGAGGCCATGATCTGTAAGTAGGAATTTTTGCTGTTGCAGTCTTACAGTCACTTCCTGAATGATGGCATCTGGTACCACAGGGTGTCACTGCCATCTCAGCAATACCAACAGCATTAAGACAAAGGTGAAACGGAAACCCTCAGAAATACTTCCAGGATATTTTCAACAACCAATATTTACAGTAAAGAAGTTTGTTCTCTTTCCTCATCCATGCCCTGGCACCCATCATGTTCCAGGCAAAAGTCACATTGTAATCAGCATGGTAAGAATCATCCACAGCCAGAATGTTTAGCCTTTAGCTGTTAACTCTGCACTTCCACCCACAAGCACACTTGTTAGGCTGCAGAGGGGACAGAAAAACCTTGCAAAACTGTATTGTCCCTTCTTCTCACAGCTGCAGAGTGTGTGCTCCGTGTGCTCTGAGCAGAGCCCCCTACACTCCTAAATAGGACACCTCTTGCAATATGGAGCAAATTCACATTTCCCATGTGCTCAACACGTCATGTCGCAGAATTAAGATCCTAAATGCCATACTCAGCAAGTACTCTGCCAGAATTTAGGAGATTTTATGAGCTACTGTGTTCCTGAGCTACTGTACAAAGAAACCGATTGGGATGAAAGGCTCTGGAGAGCAATATAAAGAGCAGATGAGTAAAGGTGCAACACTTCCTTCAGCGTGTGAAAGGATCCTGACATTCAGGATGTGTTCACAGCTCAGTGTGACTCACCAGCCAGAGTCCAGAGTGACTCTCAGATGTGTTTCTGAATGGCTGACTCTACACCCTGCTCGCTGCCCTGCCTCATCACTTGATAAAGGTTTACGAATGAAAAATGAATAATGGCTAACAGACAATTCACATTTGGACAGAATTTCAATTCCAGTACAGCAGTTTTTAAATAACAAATAATGATCTTTGGTGATGTGCTATGTCCTGAAAAACTTTGGGACAGCCACAAATACAAATGTGAAGAGAAATACATATCCAGTGGATCCAAAAGCTTGCAAACATCAAAGGAACAGTAGAATGAGCCCACAGTTATTCCACCAGGCAAAATTAACACTGGAATAATTCAGAAGACTTAATGAAGGTGCATGTATTATTTCCAAGTCATTCCTGGCTTATTGAGATCTGTTCAGGTTTCTAAATCTGCTGGGATTTAGCCAAGCCCTCAGAAAGGCAGCATGCCTGCTACCTTACCACATATTCACAAACCCATCATGAGCACATCAAGCAAAGGCCAGGGCTGGGGACATCCCGCAGCAGGCTCCCACACCAAATACCTCTGGAACTAAACTGACATCTATGAGGAGCAGAAGCCAGTGCTCATGCCAGGCTTTGCTGTAGAGCTTTATTTACTTTTCTACCATTTTAGTATTTTTTGTACTTGTGAAAGACGAGTAGCTGAATATCAGCTGTGGGTAAAGAACCCTGCTGCATTGCACACTGCGAGGAGTTCTTTTAAAAATGGATGGTCTAGAACAAAATTAAGTGAACTGAGACAACCTTACACATGAGAAGTGTTCCTTGGTAACCAAAACCAAGAACAACAAAAGAAGCTGACCGACTAAAGAGGGCTAGAAAAGACAAGAAAGAGGAAGGAAAATTGAAAAGTCTAGAGGGGAGAGAGAGACTGAGAGGGAAAGCGGCATTAAGGCCAGCAGGAC